TTGACTTTGACTTTGACTTTGATGGGCAGACAAGTGAAAACTTTGTCTGGACGTCATGTGTGTATTTTATATATTGTTGCTTCTCAAACAACTATTTAGCAAATTTGTTTAATCAAACTAACAGAACAGCAAAAACTTAAACTGCACTTACTGGAACTGACGGACAGTTTGATGCCAGAACCAAACAGGAGTCTGGTGCCTCCAGTCACACTTGGAGAAATGCTACCACATAAACTCATAGCTGACACATGGAAGAGCAACAGGTAGTGAACACGTGCAGCATGTTTATGAATCTGAAAATATTTCCAGTATTTGAAAATGATTAAAACTTTAACACGGGTCCGTTTTGAGTTTGGCTGCAGTTCTTCCAGATAATGATTGAAACATCTAAACTGCTCTGCTTTTCTAACTGTGGTGTCGTAGCTGAAGGTGATGTAATGGTCATTAGTGCTTTGATTAAGGACTTCATGTTAAGTATCGTATTAAATCAAAAAGCTGTTTTTATTCACAAACCAACAAGCAGCTGTAACTGCTGTGGGCAGTGTTTCAGTCCTGCACTGAGCTCTCCTTCTCAGGATTTCACAGTTTCATCACTTTAACAAAAGTACAGTACGTATGTTACAGGAAACAGTAAATATATTGTTTATATATTATCTGAATTATTTGGATACTCACTGGCTTCAGTGATTAATTTAACACCAGCCCCAAAGAATAACCTCCAGCTTGCTCCAGTAGCAGTCACACAGTCGCTCCTCTCACACAAATAAGTGATCGACAGTGATGAACACTGAAGTCGTGATCTGTGAGCTGCATATATGGAAAAGCTCAACATGGACACACAACATCACCAGTACAAGAGATACCAGTGTAAGTGCACCAGTATCACGTATCCAATGCTCAGATAATAAATGTGTTTTTCCAAATGTCAGTTTTTAGGTTTGTGAGCAGCAGTCAGAGAGGATGTGCTCCAGGCTGAACGTGCACCACTGCTCTAACCCAAACTAACACTTTTATAATCTGTCATTTACTATTAAAGCACTTTGAGCTCTGCTGAAAAGCCCAAACAGAAACGACATCTTTGTGTGGACGCAACGGTTAAAAACAGCTGAATGTATCAAAGGGCTGACTCACAGTTTAGCATGCTATTATCTCATATTTCACACAGTGTCAAAGTACAAACTGACACTCACTGCTTTGTAGAGAAACTTTGGTTCCTTCTCCAAAGATCAGTTTGAAGTTT